CAGCCAGCACTAGCCACACACATTACATACAGCCAGCACTAGCCACACACATTACATACAGCCAGCACAAGTCACATACACACATTACATACAGCCAGCACTAGCCACACACATTACATACAGCCAGCACTAGCCACACACATTACATACAGCCGGCAAAATCCACATACACATTACATGCAGGCAGCACACACACACATGACATACAGCCAGCCATGCAGAGAAATGGCAATGTTTACATTGCAGAGAGACACTAGAGGTGCTTCCAGCATTCCCAGAGAGTTTAACTCTGTGAAACAACGATGTCCTCACCCTTTGAATAAGGACATCCAGCATTCATTCAATGCTTTCCTACGGGGTAGGTCTCATGTGTGCAGCAGAGGAGACAGGGCCAGTGCCGAGTTACCTCAGGGCTGGAAATGGGTAACTGAAAAAAGAGGTGGGCGGGGGGTGAGGGGACTTTTAGTTATTGGCAGAGGTTATAGTGTTCCTTTAATTTAGGAAAACCATACAATTTCACACTCCGGCAACTGTAGCTGCTTTTTCTTCGCAATGCGGTTGATGTCAGTGAAGGTCACTCAGTGTTTATAATCTATAATGTTGGTTTAAGCCAGCGTCTATATTTAAATCAAAATGGTCACTTATGTGAAAGTAATTACTCCCTGTTCCCTTTCCTCTTTTGATGACAATGGAACCATTTTATTGTGACACGTTGTGTTAACATTCTTACCTCAGGGACACTTCCTCATTGAGGGGACATTGTTGCCGAATGATTCTCCAGGCTCAGGAATCTGCAGTATAATCGCTTGGGAGAGCTGTTCTCCAATAGTTCGGTACTTGTCCATGTTGGCACTATGTGGGATAAAGTCAGCATGCGTGCCCATTAAATAAAATAATTAACACTTGTAAGATAATTAAAAACACAACCCAGAGTTAAGTTTTAGTTAGCTCTCAGCAGTGGAAGTTCCTTGCAGGTCGGGCACCGTTAGCATAAGAAGCACTATTCTTGATTAGTGCGATAGATCAGAACTTGCAGTACCTCTTGGTCCAGGAATAAATACCTGAATGAACCCATCTTTCTGATCAAAAACTCAGAATGGAAGAAAACCAGCAACCACTGAAGCAGCAGGAGATGTCGCAGGATCTTTCTGAAAGCTAATGCACACCTGATTAAGGCCATCTCCCAGCCTGGACCTTTCTATTCACCGTGACTGCAGAGATATACTCAATTCACTGGCCAACTTGGTGCTGCAAATGTGAAACTGAAAGAGGCCTTCTCACATTTTAAAGATAAGTTTGAAGCTTCGCCACTGGCTTTTGGAGAGGCCTGCTTGCCAGTCTCTTGCCCTGTGACTATGGCCCCTGGGGTATATTGCCATCTAAAAACCCTCTTTGGGCTTATGGGCTTTTAATACACTGTTTCTGCCCCTTTAAATCCTATGGGAAAGGATCTGCACTTTTGAAATGCCACTTCAGATGCAGCCAAAGTGCAGAAGTAGTCGAAGTGGCCGCCATTCGACAAACGAACACGTGGTAGTGGCCATTTTAATTCAGTCAAACGTGTTCAGCGGTGTTTGGTCGTCGAGTTCATGGAACTCAAATCAGATAGGCGATGGCACGAACACCGCTGAACTTTATCTTCTCTGAACTTCAACTCTTCGACTGGAATCAAACTTTAACATTGACGGTTTGCACTAACGGTTGCCGTTCGTCTATTTGAACTGAATTTAACATTGGAAATTGACCGGCCGCACAACAAAAATTCCCTGGAACTGTTTTGGGCATGAAAATGTGCGTGCGGTTGGGCAAATGTGACTTCCATGGAACTTTTGAACCCCTGCTCTGATCTGAGCGAATTTTGGATATGTTGTTCACCCAGATCAGGGCTATCCAGGGATGTATAATTTATGGGGATGTGTTTGTGTTTTGGGGTGTTTCTGGACTTTAGGTAAAAATTTATATTTTCTGCCTGTAGATAATTAGGTTATTCCATTAGCTAGCTTAATTGTATTACAGGCAGAGGGGAGGGATTGCTGACTGTATGTGGGAGTGTTACTGTGTTAATTATTGTTCCTATTGGCTTGGTGACTTTGTGTCCTGTGCTCCACAAGGTCCACGTGGGCGGTAATCTTGTGGGGAAAAACTGCAAATAAGACGCAGCTGTATCATTAAATGTTCTGTTCTACTTCACCCCCAATACTGAGTTCTGTCTCTTATTGGGGGAAACTGCTACAAGGGATTGCTATGCTCTTCATACTCCCTTGAATAATCACTAGCTCTTCTAAGAGCTGTTCCTGCTTCGCCCTCTAGAGGAAGAGAGGTTCACCCACTGGAACCTGGAGCCTTGTTGTAGGTCCAAGGTGGGTAGGAGACGGCGAGACCCCAACCAAGCTGCGGCGGTTCGTGGGGTCTGCAGTGCTTATGGTGTCTGGTGTGGTGCTGATGGTCCTTGGTGAGCACTAGGAGCATCCGTCGACGGAGGTACCCAACCGGGGTACAGGAAGTTCCGTTACACTATCATTTTGTTATATCTGTTATCATTTTGCATATGGAGCTTCCACAAGACTGGGGAAGTTACAGGGTTCTAACAGAGGTCGGATATTACTGGGTTCTAACAGAGGTCGGATATTACTGTGTTCTAACAGAGGTCAAATATTACTGGGCTCTAACAGAGGTCAGACATTACAGGGTTCTAGCAGAGGTCAGACATTAGAGGGCTCTAACAGAGGTTGGATATTACTGGGTTCTAACAGTGGTCGGATATTACTGGGTTCTAACAGGTGTCAGGCATTACAGGGTTCTAACAGAGGTCGGATATTACTGGGTTCTAACAGAGGTCGGATATTACTGGGTGTGGCGAAACCAACCTCGCCACTGTGAACTGGAGAAGCCTGGTTGCTCGCCTGCTCCCTTTGGACTATGGCCCTGCAGGTTAAACCGTTTATTTCCCCTGCAGAAAGGCTTATTTGTGTGATCTGAGTGCCATTCATCTAATAATGTGCACTCGGATCCCAGCTATCTGGGGATATGTGAAATGTCTGTGTGTTATGTGTAAATGTGACTTTATGTATTTTAAAGTGTTTTGTGTCTTTTGCAACCATGTGCTTAATGGAGTCTTGTGTCTATCCTGGGAGATAATTGAATTACTCTCCAGGATAGAAGACTCTGAAACTGGTTTGGGCCAGAAAGCCATGCTTCATTTAGTCACAAAGGACTTTCCCTTAACTTTTGAACCCCTGGTCTGATTCGTGCCATTTTTAATATGTTGTTCCCCTGAATGGATTGATTATGAAAATGTATGTTTTATGTTTGTGACATGTATATTTTAGAAGTTAGAAATATTGTGTAAAAACTGTATTCCTCTGCCAGTGATAATGAGATTACCCATTGTGTTCAGTAATCATATCACCTGCAGAGGGGAGGATTTTGTGTGGGAGTGTCTGGGTGTATTGTACGGATTGATTGGTTGTTTTGTAACGCCCTGTGGGGTGTACTATGTTTGTGGATTGGGAATAAAAGAGACTGTATGTGACAGTACAGGGAGTTCCTGTTTTAACCCTCAAAGTGAAGTGTCGTCTCATTATTGGGGAAAGGATTTATTGTATGCTGTTCCAGTTTGATTGCTAGGAGAGTAAACCTATTCGTATGGTTCCTATTCAACTGTCTACAGCATTCATATGCTTGAGAGCATTCATATGCTCCTACGGTTCGGTGGTTTTGGTGTCTGCTGCAGTGCTTGGAGTCCTCAGGAAGCGCTAGGAGCATCCTTTAACGGAGGTACCCAGTCGGGGTGCCAGGCGATCCGTTACACTGGGTTCTAACAGAGGTCGGATATTACTGGGCTCTAACAGTGGTCGGATATTACTGGGTTCTAACAGAGGTCGGATATTACTGGGTTCTAACAGTGGTCGGATATTACTGGGTTCTAACAGAGGTCGGATATTACTGGGTTCTAACAGTGGTCAGATATTACTGGGTTCTAACAGGTGTCAGGCATTACAGGGTTCTTACAGAGGTCGCATATTACTGGGTTCTAACAGAGGTTGAATATTACTGGGTTCTAACAGAGGTCGGACATTACTGGGTTCTAACAGAGGTGGGATATTACTGGGTTCTAACAGAGGTCGGACATTACAGGGTTCTAACAGAGGTTGGATATTACTGGGTTCTAACAGAGGTCGGATATTACTGGGTTCTAACAGAGGTGGGATATTACTGGGTTCTAACAGAGGTTGGACATTACTGGGTTCTAACAGAGGTGGGATATTACTGGGTTCTAACAGAGGTGGGATATTACTGGGTTCTAACAGAGGTGGGATATTACTGGGTTCTAACAGAGGTCGGATATTACTGGGTTCTAACAGAGGTCGGATATTACTGGGTTCTAACAGAGGTCGGATATTACTGGGTTCTAACAGAGGTGGATATTACTGGGTTCTAACAGAGGTGGGATATTACTGGGTTCTAACAGAGGTCGGACATTACAGGGTTCTAACAGAGGTTGGATATTACTGGGTTCTAACTGAGGTCGGATATTACTGGGTTCTAACAGAGGTCGGATATTACTGGGTTCTAACAAAGGTCTGATATTACTGGGTTCTAACAGAGGTCGAATATTACTGGTTTCTAACAGAGGTCGCACATTACTGGGTTCTAACAGAGGTCGCACATTACTGGGTTCTAACTGAGGTCAGACATCACAGTTTATAGATTTTCTTTATATATATATGTTGCTGCATTCTTATTGAATTTCACTCCAATTTACAGAATTGAAGATACATTCTCATTTTCTAATATCCTATTTATTCTGCAGAGATATTTGGAGAGGATCTCATCAGAACTTCATATGTGACCTGGTCTGCGTTAATCAGCGATGTGAGGTGGAATTAACTCGAGTAGAAGAACAGGCTGAGCTGGCAGTTTGAGACCTGGTAGTTTTGATGATATAATTTACATAAAATGAAAACTCCTCAGAGCTTTCAGAATCAACAATCAGATTACTTCGATTATCTGTAACATTCTGAAGCTTCAGCCCACGTTGGGAGAATAGCAACACGGAAGCAGGGACCTCGGCACAGGAGAAGGTCGAGCCGCCCTTGTATCTGCCTTAACCATAAGTGATTTTATCCCCTGTTGTTCAGAGCTATTCTGTCCCTGGGAAGAATCTGCTCACCTAATGAGCCCACCACTGGCACCACGATGAGAGCTGATATTGGGGGCAGAATGATAGAAATGGAAGATTACTGTAAGGCTGATTCTGCAAGATAATGATTAACTTGTATCTTCAATTTCATTCAATATCTAAATATTCTGTAAAGGCTGCAAATCATTCTTCTGGGCCCTGCTATATATATTGATAAACGAGACGTTTCAGGCTGGAAGTGACCCCCAATGTTAATGTATTAAATAGATAATGTATTAAAAGATGCAGAAAAAACACTTACCTTAACGTACCTTCAGGCAAGCAGCAGCAGGAGACATGGCGCAGACCTGGAAGATGCTCCTACAATCAGAAGTCCAGGAAGAGTTTATGTAGTTTAGCCCCAGGCTCAGTCCATTTATCAAATCCTTATAAGCGAAACTTCTCAACCAGCTGATAACCATATCACTGCACCCAGCTGTGGGTTGTGAATGGGACAAGGCATCTCCCGAGCCTCTGGCCACCAGGCCTGCAGGGGATAGGGGTTATATTGCATGAGCCTACCGTACAGACCACAGACATCTCCTGACACAAATTATGTGTTTTTATGACTTAAAGGACCACTATAGTGCCAGGAAAACTTATTCGTTTTCCTGGCACTATAGTGCCCTGAGGGTGCCCCCTCCCTCAGGGTCCCCATCCCGCCGGGCTGGATGGAGAGGAAAGGGTTAAATCTTACCTTTTTTCCAGCGCCAGGCGGGGAGCTCTCCTCCTCTTCTTCCTCTTCTCCTCCTCTTCGGCTGAATGCGCATGTGCGGCAAGAGCTGTGCGCGCATTCAGCCAGTCCATAGGAAAGCATTTACAATGCTTTCCTATGGACGCTGGCGTCTTCTCACTGTGAAAATCACAGTGAGAAGCACGCAAGCGCCTCTAGCGGCTGTCAAGAGACAGCCACTGGAGGCTGGATTAACTCTATTATAAACATAGCAGTTTCTCTGAAACTGCTATCTTTATTAAAAAAAAGGGTTAACCCTAGCTGGACCTGGCACCCAGACCACTTCATTAAGCTGAAGTGGTCTGGGTGCCTATAGTGGTCCTTTAAAGAATGTTCTCATCCTGCTTAGAAAGCTGGATGCTATATACCAGGATTTTAAAGGAGTCCTGCAGGCAATATAACAAGTTCATTGGAATTAAAGGGACACTTTAGTCACCTAAATTACTTTAGCTAAATAAAGCAGTTTTAGTGTATAGATCATTCCCCTGCAATTTCACTGCTCAATTCACTGTCATTTAGGAGTTAAATCACTTTGTTTCTGTTTATGCAGCCCTAGCCACACCTCCCCTGGCTATGATTGACAGAGCCTGCATGAAAATAAAAACTGGTTTCACTTTCAAACAGATGTAATTTACCTTAAATAATTGTATCACAATCTCTAAATTGAACTTTAATCACATACAGGAGGCTCTTGCAGGGTCTAGCAAGCTATTAACATAGCAGGGGATAAGAAAATCTTAATTAAACAGAACTTGCAATAAAGAAAGCCTAAATAGGGCTCTCTTTACAGGAAGTGTTTATGGAAGGCTGTGCAAGTCACATGCAGGGAGGTGTGACTAGGGTTCATAAACAAAGGGATTTAACTCCTAAATGGCAGAGGATTGAGCGGTGAGGCTACAGGGGCATATTCTATACACCAAAACTGCTTCATTAAGCTAAAGTTGTTCAGGTGACTATAGTGTCTCTTTAAGTTGTTATAGTGAAAGATGGTCCCCGGGCGGTAGCTCACTTCAAGGCTTTAAACTGTTAAAAACCTGTTAAAATCCAGCATTTGATTGCTCTGTTACGTTATTACCGCTGCAGTCCAAGAACTGAATAAAGGATCCTCACACTCGGAGTGGGAGCCGCTGACCAGCTGAGGGCTATCTGTAGCTCTCTATTCACAAAATGACTTGAGAAAATGATGCATGTTTCGCAAGTTACTTGATAAAGATAAAAGATGTTTGTTTTTTAAAGTGGTGCACACTTGTTTTGGGGCATGCATTGCATATAAATACACCTACTGCATGATAATGCCAAACTTTAAAGGTGTGTGTCAGTAATATCTTACAGAAACAGTGCATGCTTTGTTTAAGGACGTATAACACATTATTGGAGATCTTTATGATTGAATTGGTTTTTGTGGTAGCTACAGGTGATTACAGAATGTCTACGCCTGTCCAATCACAGACTTCCCACATGAGTTTGTCTCCACTCGCGAAACAACCAGGAAGTAACAGGAACGGTTGTCTGATTGAGCGTCAGTGGGGTGTAATCAGGTTGATTTATACATTTCTATTGAAATATGCACTTTTTGCAAAATGAAAAAAGACCCTCTTCATACATAAAGCTCTTCTGCAAGGTAAACTGCTTTAGGGATCTGGAGTGTCCCTTTAAGTCTCACAATTCATCGCCTAATGTCAATTAGGTTAGAAGAAGACATTATATAAGCCTTTCATGCCAGTAGTTGCTGAATTAAGCATTTCTAAGTCTTGATGTAAGACATGCATATTGTGTATTGTTAATACTCATTAGCCACAACATTAAAACCACTGACAGGTGAATTGAATAATATTGATTATATTGTTACAATGGCACTAAGGTTGCCACCTTTCTTGGAAAAAATACTGGCCATACTATTTTGCATAATTATTTATGCATGCGTGATGCCACAAGATGTAAATCACAAGGAGTGACATAACAGAAAATTCTTTAAAATCACAAAAAAAACTACTTAGTTTGATTCTGCTGTATAAAGTGATTGCTCCAACTGTCTCCCTGTCTCACAGTGCAGTGTCTTCATTTTTACCAGTGTTTCCATGTCTCCTACTGTCCCCTAGTGTCTCAGTGTCCTCATGTCTCCCTTAGTGTCCCCATGTCTTCCAGTGTCCTCTAGTGTCTCAATGTCCCTATGTATCCCATTGTCCCCATGTCTCAGTGTCCATATGTCTCCCTGTGTACCCTAGTGTCTGTGTCCCCCAGTGCCCCCATGTCTCCCAGGATCCCCCAGTGTCCCTATGTCTGTGTGTCCCCATGTCTCCCTTAGTGTCTCTGTGTCCCCTAGTGTCTTAGTGTGCCAATGTGTCTGTGTCCCTATGTCTCTGTGCCCAATGTCCATATGTCTCCCCTAGTGTTCCCAGTGTCCCCATGTCCTCCAGTGTCCCCATGTCTCTATGTCCCATCATGTCCCCATGTCTCTCAGGATTCCCCAGTGTCCCCATATCGCCGTGTCCCTATGTCTGTTTGCCCAGAGTCCCCATGTCTCCCCTAGTGTCCCAATGACTTACCTGAGCTGCTGGCTGGACTCTCTGGGCAGAGCTGCTCCCCCGCGGATCAGTGAGTAGAGAGAGGCAGGGAGGGAGATGCTGTAACTTCCTATCCCTGTCTCTCTCCACCCAGCCACAGCGTCACCTACTGTCTGGTGCCGGTATTGCAGCTAATCTCAGTGTCCCCGTGTCCCCCAGTGTCCCAATGTCTTTTTCTCCCCCAATGTCCCCATGTCTATCAGGATCCCCCAGTGTCCCCATATCTCTGTGTCTCCCAGGATCCCCCAGTATCCATATGTCTATTTGCCCAGTGTCCCCATGTCTCCCATAGTGTCCCCATGACTCAATGTCCCCATATCCCCCAGTGTCCCCAATGTCTCTGTGTCCCCATGTTTCAGGATCCCCCAGTGTCCCCATATCTCTGTGTCTCCCAGGATCCCCCAGTGTCCCCATGTCTCCCCTAGGGTCCCAATGTCTCTGTGTCCCCCAGTGTCCCTGCATCTCCCAGGATCCCCCTGTGTCCCCATGTCACTGTGTCCCACAGTCTATGTGTCTCTGATCCCCCTGTGTCCCCATGTCTCTATGTTACAGACTGCCCTTCCATTTGTCGTCCCCCCATCACTCACTTACCTGAGCTGCTGGCTGGACTCTCTGGGCAGAGCTGCTCCCCCGCGGATCAGTGAGTAGAGAGAGGCAGGGAGGGAGATGCTGTAACTTCCTATCCCTGTCTCTCTCCACCCAGACACAGCGTCACCTACTGTCTGGTGCCGGTATTGCAGCTAATCTCAGTTTATACTGAGAAAAATACCGGCACTGGCCAGGCGGCCTCAAATACCGGCTATGGCAACCCTAATATGGCACGTGTCAAGGGGCGGGATATATAAGCAGGGCCAGACTGTGCACAGAAAGCAGCCCTGGAAAAATAAAATTATTCCAGTCCTATAATTCATCGTGTCACAGTGTTTGTATGTTTTATATTTATTTGCTTTGTTATATTGTTTCTTACCTGCAGCCCCTCACTCCAGATGATCCATGGGTATAACAGTGCTCCAGGCCGCTCCCAGTCACTATCGAATGGCCCTGCCATTGGTACACGTTTTTAAGCAGGGCAATTCTCCAAGCTGATATCAGCATATCTGTATAAGTGCATCAATGGCACCATCCAGCATATATATATATTTATTGCAAAGCATTAATAACACAAGCTCATTGACACACACAGAAGCTATCTACAGACAAGCTCACTGGCACACACAATCTATCTTACCCATACACAAGCTCACTACAGACAATCTTTATGACACACATGCTCTCTTACCCATATACAAGCTCAATACAGATAGGCTTGCTGACACACACAAGCTCACGACAGACAAGCTCACAACAGACAAGTTCACTACGGACAAGCTTACTGACACACAAGCTCTTTTACACATATACAAGCTCACTAAAGAAAAGCTTTCTGACTGTCAGGGTACCTTTGGTGTCTACCTCGGAGGAGGTTAGACACCTAGACGTCCATCCTCCCAGGGGGGCTGACTCACCCGATCCTTGCACTCCTCCCGGTCGTTTACACGCCGGCCGCGATAGCTCCGCCTCCTTTTATGACGCGGCGCTCAGTAGCCGACGTCATGACGGCAATCACGTTCCGACCCGTCAATCACGGCAACCAAGTGCCGAACAACCAATCAGGACCCGTTGGGGGCGGAGCCAACAGTTAAAGAGCCAAGGTATAAAAAAGGGTTCTGTGGAATGATTCATTGCCC